TTTATTGTCCTGCTCCATTAAAGGGAATCTCCTCTTACTCATTTATTGCATGCAGTCCCAGACCTAAAAATTGCCAGGCTGATGCCTGACTTTTGGGGGTCTCCATCGAGCTGGGATGGGGTTTCTCATCCTGATGGAATGCGATCACCCTTTGGGATCTTGGGTTGGAAAATCACAACTGATAGGGAAATACATTCGTGTGTGCAGCTGTAGGGGGAGGAGGGCGGCCACGTGGGAGGAAGGCACGCTGGTTTATCCCGGGTTTAACTTCCTCCAGCATCTCCTGGGTCATCTCATTTCTAGTTAGCGGCTGGATTTCCCACTCACATGGCTCACCACAGCCGGCCTAGCACCACGCAAGTCACATCCCCTCTGCCTCAGCACGGGTGGGTGCGAACGAGCCCAGAGGCACGCATGGACAGACCCACGCCTGCCCGAGGTGGGTTAAATCCTGAGCTCCCCAGGGCAGCGAAGAACCCCTGGAAACAGCTGCCACATCACCCCTGGGAAAAACAGGTGGGACAAAGAGGAGCGAGGGTTGAAGGCAGCTGGGAGCGAGCTGTCTGGGTGGCACGGTTTCGGGCACCCGATCCAGACACGTGAGCTCAGTTTATGGCTCCCTTTTTCCAGCCTGTCCCAGGGGAAGAGCACAGTGACACGGGCTGAGTCAGGCAGGAGGGGCAGGATGCATGGGAGAGCTGGGCTGGCTGCAGCTCAAACCACGGCTCAGACATGGCTGGGAAGGGCAGCGTGTGCTGGATGGGCTGAGCCCAAGGTAAAATGGAAGATAAAGAATATGTTGTTCTGGTGAGGCAGCACCTCTCCATCCCTGGGATCCCAGCTCTCCTGGAACCAGGGGTGGTCATTGCAGCATCCCAAGGCCAGGCTCCAGCCTTCTGGGGGTGCTCTGTACCCCTATCCCACTAGGAAAAGCTGCCCAGGGGGATGCTGTGGCTGGAGACAGCGTCTCGGACAAGCACACAGCCCATGCATGCGCTGGGTGACTTACATGGAGCAAGCGGGCAGCTACCGTGGGATTTCTCACCAGCTCTTGCATCCAGTTCAGACGTCTACAGGATTTCCTGGGTCTATTGTCCTGCCCAGCAAACCCTCCTCCCAGAGCAGCATCCAAGGCCGCCAGCGAGGCTGGAGGCAGAAATAGCCCCTGGAAATAGCGCTGGGAAACTTTTGTTTGAGGAGTGTGGCCATCCCCTTCTCCATCTGTGCTGGGAGGAAGCCTGGAGAAGCCGACGTGCCGGTGCATTAGCCGACCATCCTGTGTGTGCCTGCTCCCATTGAAACAAGCTCCCAAAATAACTCCCTGAACAATCTGGCCATAGTCAGGGTGAGGGTGGCGAGGGCTTGGCTTTCCCTTCCCAACACAAGGCTTTTCCCACAAAGCTCACCATACACCTCGGCGCATGCATTTGCTCAGCGGCCCCACGTTTTTTGGTTCATTGTATTCATAGGAAACAGCCGTCGGCCAGGGGAAACGCGGCCCAGAACAAAAAACTGCCTGAAACGTTCAGGTTTTGCTGCTTTTCTCAGGAGATTTAGCAAAAGGATCCACTTTTTGTCCTGACTGTCTCCAGGGAGTGGGGACAGGAGCTGGGCTGGAGAAGGAGATGCTGCTCTACACCTCCCAGGGACTCGGGGCTGTCCCTGTGACACACGCTCCCGGGCTCACAGACGGCTTTTTGGGCAAGCAAACCGAGCCTGGGGGCCAGAACAGTGTTATCTCAGCCCCGTGCCCCGCACAGCCCCAGCCCATTGCTTCTGACCCATCCTTGGGGGCTCTCAGCATCACTGCTCCCAGCCCTCCCACTCGCCTCTTCCCAGGGCACCGCAAAAACACTTCAGTGTCAGGGGTTTAGTGAGGTTTTTTAGAGCTTTGGGAATCCAACACTTGGCAGCGACAGAAGCGCAAACCTCTCGGTGTCCGCGCCGAGCGGTAACGCCTGGGCACCGGGTTTCTCTCCCTGCCCATGCTGGGCGAGCTCCCCGCCTCCTCCTGTCGCAGAGCGGGGGCTGCCAGAAATCACACTTCTCATTTTAGCTCCGCCGAAACCTGCCCGCGAAACGCAGGCGCGCGCTTCTCCTTTACGTCAAGATGCCACTGCCGCATATGCTGCCGGTGGGAAGTTTTCTGCCAGACCCAGCGCTAAGAAAGAAAGAAGGCAGGGGAGGGCTTTCGCTTTCAGCTGCCAAAACTCTCCTGCAGACGAGGAACCTGCAAAACCCTCTCGGCACATCCTGGGTTGGGATCTCCAGCACAGGCCCAGGGGACAGAGGTGCCCGTCACCGCCCTCCTGGCGCTCCCGGCTGGTCCCCCACCACCCCCGATGCTCCACTGAAGGAGCTGGCCGGTGCATCACCGCAAACCGGGGCTGACGCTCGGGCCACTAGTGCCCAAGTATTTTCTGATGCTACCAGCGGGAACGGGCGCAGCAGCACGCGCCCAGAAGAGCGGAGAAAGGCAGCTGGGCAGGGGTTCAGGTGAAGCTGCGACCCTCGGAAGGCCCTGCAAAACGGGGCTGCAACAGGTCTGCTGGGCTCTGCAACCGGTTCTGTCTCTGTGCTGGAGTGCTTTGATGGAGGGGGAAAAGGTTTTGAAAAAAAAGGTTTTGAAAGGTTTTTGTTTGAAAGGGAGAGGGAGGTATTGCCCTCTCCTGCTTTTGTTGGCACGTTTTAAAAGCTTGAATCCCTAGTCCCAGCCTCCCTCCATCCCAAGCCAGGCCTTTTTTCCTCCTCTGCCTGTCAACCATGGGCTCATTTTCCCCTCTACCCCAAAAACATCAAAAAAATGAGAGCTGCGAATCCAGCGCTGCTCCATTACGCAGGATATCAGTCAGGTGGCCTCTGCGCCTGTTCCCAAAAGCCATTCCCAACGTCAAAGCCAAGGATGCGCAAGAGCCACGCACTGCCTGCCCCAGCTCCCAGCAGAGCCGCGGGCAGAAGGGCTGAGAGAGGGAAGAGGGTGAAGGGGACGGAAGGGCACCCCTCGGCTGTGGGGGAAGAGGGACAGGGCAGACTCCAGCCACCATCGCAGCAGCGTCCCTCGACTCCGGGCGTGAAACGCAGCACTCGCCTGCTCTTTTCCATTCTTTATTTCAATGATCACATTCTCACTTTGGTGACAGCTCTGAAAGGTTTTTTTGGTAGCTGTTGTGGTGGTGTTTTTTTTTTTATCTTCTCTAATTTGAACCCATTTTCTATAATATTATAAAATTATACAAGTACAGTAATTACCAGTTGATAATAAATAGGAATTTGTTAGTTCACAAAGTTAAAGTGCTTTGAGAAGGGATGTAAGAAGCTCTAATCCTAGATTTGGGGTGGGGGTATCTTGGAAATGTAGTGCAGTAGGAAGCTCTGGCCCGTCGTCCATAGTCTGCGGTCACGAGAGGCACGTGGCATCTCTCCCCCTCGCCAGAAAGACCCCTCGGGCTCTCCTGAGTGTCTCTGAGCAGGCACAAAGCAGGAGCTGTGCTGCTGTGACAGGGTATTGGAAGCATGAGATTACGACGCCCCCTCGGTTGCACGGCCCGAGGCTGGGGCGTTCTGGCGGTCCAGAGGGCTGGGAAAGGGTCGGACAAGGTGTGGGATCTGCTCCTCGCACAGAGGTGCAGGGAAAGCATCCCATTTTTTCACAGTTTAGTTTTGCGCGGAGACCTCAGAGCCCAAAGGAAGCAAACCCTGGTCCTCCTGTCCCCTCACCGCAAGGGAGAGAGGGAGATCTGCTCCGGGCGGTGGGGACAGCCACAGCCCCCCTGAGCCCGTTGGCACAGC